TTTTTTTTTTTTTTTTTGTGTGCGTATTTTGATAACACACCATGCATATTTTAGTTATAAATAAGGCTAAAATGCATTATTGGTCCTGACTTTTGGATGTCCGTGCAATTTTAGTCCTATCCTATAGGAATGTGGCACATTTATTCCCGCAATTAAGTTTCTCACGTCAATTTTGGGGAATTTGGCCGGAAATTGCACGCCGCCCACGTGACCCATTTTCACCCGATTAATGTCGACCTGGCCCGATTCTTGCGCACGTGGCCTTGCACCTGCTCGACGTGGAAATAAAAACATTAAAAAAAATGAAATGGCAAAGTAAATTGCCACCTCGGACAAAATTGGAGGGAAAATGGACGGCCCGTAAGTCTTTATATTGCCCTAATTTGTTCATACTCATCCCATGAACCCTAATTTTTCAATCATGGAGGAAGTATCTACACTGCGTCGGGGAAGGAGTGCGATTGCCGCAAACCAAGTGTTGTTCGTACATCTTGGACATCCAAAAACCCAGGAAGACGGTTATACTCATGCAATTATAACCTTCCAATTTAAGTTTTGAAATAAAGAACCCTAATTTTGCAGAAATTTTAATTTTTTTTTTGTTTTATTTTGTATTAATCAGAAAGGAGGAGGGTGCAATTTTTTTTGTTGGGTTGATGGGCCGATGTGCACTCGGTCGAAGCAATTGATCCCTGGACTACTGCACAAATCAAACGAGCTGCGCCAGATTCTTCAAGAAATTCAAGAAGAAAATGATAAACTGAAGGAGGAAAAAAAGAACTTGGCAGCTGAGATGAAAAGGCTGAAAATTTCCATGAGGACCAAGTCAAAGAGTACAATGTGGTTGTTCTTTGTTGCATCTGTTATCATCTTGTATCAGTATCTGGATAATAAAGACTGTGGTGCCCAGGGTTCATTTAAAATGATTGCTTAGGGTCATCTGCTATCATCTTGTGTTTTGTGTTTTTGTTTATGTAACTTTAGCCTTTATGGCTGGTTTAGGATGCATGAAGATTGATGGATTGTGAATCCATGTAGTTGTGTTTGTTACGCTTATGATATTAAAATGAAATGAATTCTCTGAAGTTTGATTGTATCAACTTTGAAGGTTATGTGTTCTATCCTATTTATGTTTGTTATACTTTTAAGTAAATTTTATTTCCAAAAACACCTGCATCTGATATGATAAGCAAAGCAAATTCTCAAGTAAAGTAAACTACAACAAAATAACTTTTCATTCATTCATTGCAAGAACATCAAAAGCAAAACCACAATGTCTTCCCAAAATCACATTGTCTTCCAAAAAATAAACCAACTGGACCCCTTACAAAAGCAAAATCCAAAAGCAGTTGGAACAAGTACAATATTTTTTCCCACAATCAAAAGCAACAGCTTATACATGTCTTCCCACAATCAAAAGCAATAGTTTTTCCCACAACCAAAAGCAACAGTTCTTTGACTATTTTTTGCCACCAGAATGGTTATTACCCATTGACTTACTTTTGAAGCTGTTCAAAAGGGGTTGGTCTTGTTTTGGATTGTACCCTTGGAATTTGGTACTCATCACAAATTGGTCCTCTGAACTGCAATTCTTCATTGGAGTATGTACACCCTTCCTCTAAATTTGGTGGCAACATGGTTGGTCTCTCAACCTTATAGCCAATACAAAAGATTATAATCAATAGGCATAAAAACATTGAATAAAACTGAAACTACTATGACTATTTACTTACACTAGTACTAGATTGGCCAATGTTTGCTTTTTTCTGTCTATTAGAAGCTCTTGCTCTTTTTATTTTAAGCTGCATTCAGAGCATAAAAAAAAAAGGAAACAAATGAACAGAGTTGTAACCAAAGCAGAAAAACAATAAAAACAAGTAATATGTAAATTGACTTACAATGGTGTCAAAAGCTCTCTTCAAAGGAGAGTTGTCAACTTGGTCACCTTGCTTTTTTCTTGTGTCATAAGACCTTGTATTATGACCAGTCACCCCACACTTCTTGCAAGTAACTCTCCAGCCTTGCTTGAACATCCTATGTGAGTTCTTTGTCTTCTTCTTCTTGGGCTCTTCAGGACCCCTCTTTCTGGCTTTTGATGGTCTCCCAGGACCCCTTCCAAAGTTAGGAGGCAAAGGTGGAATGAAAAGAGTCTGAGCCCATTCAGATGCACTATTTGTTACAAAAATTGCACCAGCATACACCTTCTTGTACAATTGTGTAGAGTACCAATGAGAGACAAAGTCAACTGGATCCCATTTTTGTGCTAAAATAGCACTACCAGCATGCTTTTAAACAAGAACAATGTTCTAATACATAAGAGGAAGACCCCAGTTAATCCTAAAAATAAAACATAGAGGCACATCAAGAGATGGCCTAGAACCTCACATCAACACAACAATAGAGCTAAACAAAAAAAAGATCCCTCTGTCTCTATCGGGGAAAAAAAACCCAATTTCGCTTCTTGCCCTAATCGCACTCCCGCGTGAGCCTCTCCTCAGGCGGCCTTAGATCTCCCTAATTCCGGTGAGCACTTGGCTCTTTCTGGGCCCGACGGTGAGGCCATGTCATTCTTCTGTCTGCTCTTCCTCGAGTGGTCCCAATCTGGTACCGATTGCCATGGCGGGAGAAGGACGGGCGGCGCTAGCGGCTTTTGTTCGGCGGACGTTGAGGCCGTCCTTGTGGCGGTCGATGGCGGCGGTCTAGCCATGGTTTCCCCCTTGACGGCCTTCCCTGGTGTTTGGAAGATGGGGCCCTCCGGTAACGGCTTTGTAGTGGTTCGGCGGCTCCAGTGTACGCGTGGGGGGACCGGTGGAGTGGTCCGGTCTGGGCTGAGTCTGTGGAGTATCGGGAGGGCTGTCGAGTCTTGTGGTCCGGATCTGGTTAGACCATTAGGGGAGTTTCTGGGTTTTTTTTGGGTCGTGGATCTCGGAACTTTTATCGGTATTTCACGATGGGTGTTTTTCCGAAGTGTGGTGGGTCAGAGGTTTCCCGTCGGGTGGGGAAGGCATTAGCTAGTTCGCTCTTATTTGTTTTAGGATTTTTTGTTTCTATGGTCGTGTTTAGTTTGTACTGTTAGTGTGCGTTTGTGTTTTTCTCCCGTTGGGGAGCGTGTATTCTTCCGTCGGGGAGTGTGTATTCTCCATTAGTGGAGCTTTTAGTTTTGTGTGGTGTTTGTAGTGTTTTGTGTATTAGGCTATCGCGTGGCAGTAGACCTCCCTTTTCAGGATAGTTAGGCGGCTGTAATTATATGTTTTTATATATGAATCTATCGTTTGATAAAAAAAGGGATAAAAGAGGATCCAAACCACTGCCAAAGTCCTAGCCAGATCCCCTTGAACCAAGCAGGAAAAACAAAACCATAAAAACGAAGCTAACTAACAAATCAGAGAATCAAAAAAGT